CTTGTACTGCATGTTACTCACGTGTGCGGGAGAACATTATAAAAGGGCTTTCTTAGTTGTAATAAACAGGCATTGCTTGATCACATTGGTCGTGTGCGTGCTCAGCTCTCCCGCAAAGCTGTGGCTGCCCCCTCCCTGGCAGGGTTCCAGGCCAGGTTGGACGGGGCTTTGGGCAACCTGGGCTGGAGGAAGGTGTCCCTGCCCATGGCAGGGGGGTTGGAACTGGGTGATCTTTAAGGTCCCTTCCAACCCAAACCATTCTATGGTTCTATTAGAGAAATGAAATGAGGAAGAAGGACTAAGGGACTGGAGCATCTGATGTATGAGAAGCTGAGAGAGCCTGGATTGTTAAATCTATACAAGAGAAGGACTGGTGGGATATGTTCAATGTGTCTATGGGGGGGGGTAAACAAGACAGAGCCAGATTCTTCTGGGCAACAGGACAAGGGGCAACAGGCATGGATTAAAATACAGGAAATTCTACTTAAACATAGAAAAAACATTTTTATTGTGAAGACGGTGCAACAGGTTGCCCAGAGAGGTTGTGGTGCCCCATCTGTGGAGCTACTCAAAACCCAGCAGGACTAGGTCCTGAGCAACCTGTTCTAGCTGACTCTGCATGAGCAAGCAGGTTGGAGCAGATGCTCTCTGGAAGCCCTTTCCTACACCAAGGAGTTGATGACTCTGGGGAAGCAAGTTCTGCTTTTTTAATGACGGACAAAGCAGCATTGAATTTATTTGTTACTTTGACCAGAGCAACCACCCAATCGGGTGCTTGCTGTGCCACAGCCCTGTCATTCTTTGGTACGTATTCACACAATCCCAGAATCACTCAGGTCGGAAAAGCCCCTCGGGATCATCGAGTCCAACCCTCAGCCCGACTCTACAAAGTTCTCCCCTACCCCACATCCCCCACAGCTCATCCCAACGGCCCGTAACCCCCCCCCGGGATGGGGACTCCCCCCTCCCTGGGCAGCCTGTTCCACTCCCTGACCACTCTGTCTGGGAAACGTTTTTTCCTCGTGTCCAGTCTGACCCTCCCCTGCTGCAGTGTGAATCCTCCTATTGCAGTTTATTCCTCCTATTCCCTTCATGCCTTCGTGTGCACTAAGCCTGGGAAAGCCGCTCTGTTCTCCGGGGCCCAAAAAACCCCGGGAGGAGGCGCCCTGTGAGCACCAAGGGCACCTTCAGGCACGGAGCCCTGAGTCCGTGCGGGCTCTGACGCCCTCCGCCCCGCTC